GGGCATCATGAATGGTAGGAAGATGTTGGTGTGTCTAGAGAGTATTTCAGGACAGGATAACTTCTTGCACTCACCTCTTGCCCATCATACAACAGTTCTGAACCCCACATTGTGAAGTGTGAATCTAGAAACAAGTCACCATACTGAAAAGCTGGTGAGCATAAGGGCAAGAAAGCAAAGTTACGAACCTACTTACCTCCATGGGAACTCAACCATTTCATAAATGGTTTTGTGGAATGTGTTAATGGAGTGCGTAGGTATCTAAATGAGTCTACATGCATGCAAAATGGACCACAGGGGAGTACTGAGCAGTTGGTGAGCATAAGGGCAAAAATGTGAACATAAAAACTAACTTACCTCCATGAAAACTCACCCGTTTCGTAAACAGTTTTGTGGAGCATGTTCACAGAGTGCGTAGGTATTATAACGCACCCACACGCACGAAAAATGGAGCAGAGGAAGGTACTGAACAGTTGATGAGCATATGGGCAAAAAAGTGAAGTTACGAACCTACTTACCTCAATGGGAACTCAACCGTTTCGTAAATGGTTTTGTGGAGCACGTTCACAGAATGCGTAGCTATCAGAATGAGCCCACACACATGAAAGACAGAGCAAAGGAAGGTACTGAACAGTTGGTGAGCATATGGGCAAAAATGCGAACATAAAAACCTACTTACCTCAATGGGAACTCAATCGTTTCGTAAACAGTTTTATGGAGTGTGTTCACGGAATGCGTAGCTATCAGAACGAGCCCACGCACATGAAAAATGGAGCAGAGGAAGGTACTGAATAGTTGGTGAGCATATGGGCAAAAAAGCGAAGATACAAATGAACTTACATCCATGAGAACTTACTCTTTTTGTTCTTCACTTGTAGATGATCATTTGTTGGCTGGTCATGGTGGCAGGGTGGTGGTGTATAGTGGTTTGCATTAGGATTTGTGTTCTGGTTGCAAGAGGCAGTGTCATCAGGTCATGGTAGTAGTAGTAGTGACAATTGAAGTTGTCTAAGTTTGAAAATGTGAGTTGAATGCGTCACGTGACATCCCACAACCATACCGACTTCCATCAATTCACTCTTACACTTTCTAAGGCAGCTCATAGCTATAACTTCACGAGTTTTGCACCTTTTGGCCTCTATGTAAGCTTGTTTTAATTGCTTTATTTACGCGAATTCAACCCACCTTACAGCGTTAAAAAATTTAGAGTACCTCAGGAACTGTAGCATGAACTATTTGGCCTGTATTAGAGATGTAACATATATTATATCATTATGGGTTTTGCTCTGCTTCATGCGATTTTAGGCTTGCTGAAAACGCACAAATTGGAGCTTTAAAACGGGACTAAGAGCCCCTAATATTTCGATGTTTAAGGTGACCTCTGATGACATTTACCATTTTTGGGAAGATTCTTCGCCAGTAATTGGTCCATAGCCCTGCAAGTTTTGAACTAATTGCTATGTATATAGACACATTGGAAGCAACTTAAACGCCGCTTTCCAGCGCAATAAAGAACACAAAAAAACGAATAAGTTTTGCAAAGGATACTTCATCGTCTTTGTTGTTGCAACTTTTGTAGGTCAATCAATCTCTGGACAGTGGTGTAGTTTCTTCTTGTTTCAGCCTTATTTTGATCATAATAATTCATATACAATAAGGAATGTTCTTTCTATTAAAATCTAGTATACTAGTAGTTTCAGGTTATCTGAGGACAGTTCAGGTTGCCCCAGGACCAACCCAGGACATCCTGTGATGCCTTGTGATACCCTGGGAAAAAGCTTACAAACATGTTTGTCCCAGGAAAAAAGTGATTTTCCTGATGCTGCATGTTGTCATTTGCATGTTGTGCTCTTGTGGGCACTCATGAGTGCTAGTGGGTGGTGGTGCTTGTTTGGGGTGATGTACAATGCTCATGGGTGGGCAGGTTTGGTCATTATGTTGTCATGGGCATTCATTGTTGTCTGTGGGTGGTTATGAGGATTCATTTTCATGCATGGGCATTCATGGGTGGTGAGACTCATTTGGGGCAGTGTATATCATTCAGGGGTGGTGTACATCATTCATGGGTGAGCAGGCTCATTGCATTGCTATGTTGCATTGCCATGTTGCTGACTGTGACATGGCACCTGGTTGTCGGTGTCAGAAGTGGGACTGGGAGGGGTTGAGCTGTTTCCTTGCCTGGCAGAAGATGACACAGAATGACAATTAACATGCTGCTTGTTGTCGCCTCCCATCCCTCTGTTACAGTCCATGTGGCATTGCCACATTGTTCTTAGTGTTTGGAAGTCCGGTCACAGGACTGGAAAAAGACCGTGACCGGACTGGACCATGACCGAAAAAGACCGCAAATAATCAGGACCGACAAGGACCGTAACCGCGGTCCGGTCTACAGTCCTCTACAGATTCCAAAATTTCAAGACTGAGCAAAAACCGGATTAACCGGTCAAAGACCGGTCTTTCGAGCCTCGAGTCTTGGGGGCAGAACTTGGGCAGAACTCAGAAAATATTTACCTCTGTTTGATGATTTTGATGAGAACCAAATAATGACACGAAAACAACACAACTATTTCCTTCTCAACTACCACTCCACCATCAACACGACCACCTCTGCTTCGTCACCACGGCCACCACCAACCACCACCTCCCGCAATCAATGTTCAACCACCGCCAATGACCCCAACAATGACGACAACATGGTAACGCTACGTCACCAGCCCAATGGACAAACGACGACGACAGATGGCGATGACTTGGCACATCTGTTGTTGTGATGACACTGTTCACACTGATTGAGGTGAGTAGTGTACTTGTCTCCCCCTCTTCTTCTCTCACATGAGAGCAGGGGCCACGTCGTTAATGGCGACATGGCAACAAACAACTGACGGATGACGACGACACATGTATGAACAACGACGACACATGGACAAACAACGACGATACATGGACAAACAACAGCAGCACATGGATGGATGACAACATGGCACGTCAACGGATGTGCCACGTCGTCCAGACAGTGATGACCCATGTCGTCGTCACTGTCTACATCAATCCAGGTCAGCATTGTTAACCCTCCCCCTCTCCTTTTTTGACACAAGACACAGGGGACACGTTGCTGTTGGTGGCATAGCAACCAATAACCGACGAATGTCAATGACTACACACAGACAGACAACAACAACAACGGTACTCACACAGATGGACAACGACGACAACGGTACATGGACAAACGACAACGGTACACGGATGAACGACAACAGTACACGGATGAACGACAACGGGCATATGTTGACGACAACATAACCGACAAATGATGATGACTACACACAGAGGAACAACGATGACCACAATACATGGACGAATGACGGCAGATGGCATATACAACCTGGCATGTCAATGGACAGTAAAGCTAGATAGTAAGACACCTGCATGTTATCTGTGCACATTACTACTGAGTCGTGTATGCTGTCCCCCTCCTACATTAAAATACATAGAACATTGTTGTTTCATGCCACCCAGTGACCTCTACAAAGACCGGTTTAGACCAATCCCAAACCGGTTAAGTCCACAACCAGTTAAAACTGGTCTTGTAACTGCAAAAGACCGCAAAAGACCGGTCTGCTGCGGTTCGGTCCGGTTTTTTGAGGTTTCTCAAATTGGGAGGACCAGTTACGGTTACGGTCTAAGGCACTGGGCACCAAAAGACTGGACCGGACCGGACTTTTAAACACTAATTGTTCTTGCAGCTCTTTGGTGGCATCAGTGACAACATTGTGTGTCATCATGCATTGTCATTGTCATGTTGCATGTTGTTGTCATCATCATCATGTTGTGTGTCATCGTCAAGTCACAGGCAGTCATGGTGGATGGTGGTGGTGGGAAGGAAGTAGCGACGTGGCAATGCTTCAGCCACAGCTGTCATGTTTGAGAGGCCACATGCTGAAGGCAGTATATAGATACCTTCAATTTGCTTGGTAGTAAAGCCTGTATGGCTCAGGTGGCTTCAGTGCTGCTGATATTGATGATGTTGAGAATTCAATTCTCATAAGTGCAAAATTTATTTTTTACTTAAATATAGTAAGGACACTATAAATACAATATTTATATGTATTCTAATGGTTTAATTCCTTCCATAGAATTCATATGCACTGCTCCATGGAATCAATGTGGATATGCCTGCATTCTATACACTGCCAAATGTTCGAAATGCTGATGGCATCTGGCACGAATCTCCGCTTTGACAGGTTTTTGATGGAGATTGCCTCGGCATGGATGGCAGGTGTGTCGGAGCTTGGGGCGTAAATGTTAGCCCCAGCGGCTCAACAGCTGACCCACAGGTTTACGACTCTTCTTGGGGAGACATGTACTGCCTATTTTCTTCGGGCAATGAAATAGTGTATTTAAGATACAAATTAATCGTAAGAAAGTAATAAAATGATACAATAGACACTCCCAAGTTTTTACAGGTGGAAAGAATCAGGGAATTTTGAGCTCAACATGAAAATGCCTGTGCGACAAGCTCTCAAAAATTTCTGTAAGTCGTTTAAACTCCGCACTATGTTTGGTTATTTCCGAACTTCAACCCAACTTCAACCCAAACTCGCTTTCTTCTTCACCACAACTGTCACCGCCCCCTCGCCTGGCTGCCAAGTTGCTCCCATCCTCGTTCCTAAACCCTGTGTTTCTGTTACCCAGTGGTCTATGCCCTCCTGTGAACTCCCTCATGTTGTTTTTTTGGTTGTCCTTGTTCCACACCCGTGCGCCTGTGCACGGTCATTACCATCTGTCACTGCTCTGGGATTTTGTTAAGCCCATTGTCCCTTTCACCATCATCAAACCCCAGACGAACACCGACGAGGGCCCATCACCACATCAACAAACAGTGACGAGGGCCAATAACCACCACCGCTTCCCACAACGAGGGCCCAGCATCACCATCAACGAACAACGACGAGCGCCCATGACCCCTGTCAATGAAGGGTGACGAGCGCCCACGACCATCAACGAAGCACGTCGAGCACCCACCACAGTCCACCACCATCAACGAATGAATACAACGATCAACCAACGGCCCACCACCTACAGCAACGAGGGCCCAGCATCACCGTCAAAGAACGGCAACCAGGGCTGCAACTACCACCACCTCCAATGAGGGCCCAGCATCTGTCAACGAACGGCGACGAGTGCCGACCACCACCACGAACCACGTCAAATACCCACCTCCACAGACCACGTCGAACACCCATCCACAAACCACGTCAAACACCCATCCATCAACCACATTGAACGTCCATCTACCAATCGCGTCGAATGTCCAATCACCAACCCCGTCGAACGACCATTCACCAACCACGTCGAACACCCATACACGAACCACGTTGAATGTCCATCCACCAACCACATCGAACCTGAACCAGTGGGGAGACCAGCGCGTCAACTTCATAACCAACCACGGCACACAGTTCTTTTCATGTGGGTGAGCCAAGTCCCATGGGTACTAGATAGAGTAGATGTAAATAACTCTTGTGCTCCCCCTACAATTCATTGTTTTGTTTATGCTTTTGAATTGAAGTTTATCTCTATGAAACATATTAAAAGAGCACTAGTAGCTACCACTTTTATGATAAAATACAGGCAAGTGCCTGCACACCGACATCCACACTGCCTAATGAATTTATGAAATGAGAAGAGTAGGCAAAACTTATGAAATGTATTTCATTTCTTTACCAGTGCTTCTCATGACTATTTCATAACTGTCCTGAGACATAATTTCAATACTACTTCATTGCAATTTCATTACTGCCTGGCCTTCCATTTCATTGTCTACCCAGCATTGTTTCATTGCTATTTCATTCTTGCCTGACTTTTAATTTCATTGCCTGCCCAGCCTTATTTCATTGCCTTTTCATATCCTTGCCTGGGCTACTTCATATTCATTTCATATCCCTGCCTGGACAATTTCATATCCCTGCCTGGGCAATTTCATATCCCTGCCTGGGCAGTCTCATATCCCTGCCTGGGCAATTTCATATCCCTGCCTGGGCTACTTCATATTCATTTCATTTCTTGCCTGAGGCAATTTCATATCCCTGCCTGGGTGATTTCATATCCCTGCCTGGGCAATTTCATATCCTTGCCTGGGCAATCTCATATCCCTGCCTGGGCTACTTCATATTCATTTCATTTCTTGCCTTAGGCAATTTCATATCCCTGCCTGGGTAATTTCATATCCTTGCCTGGGCAATCTCATATCCCTGCCTGGGCTACTTCATATTCATTTCATTTCTTGCCTGAGGCAATTTCATATCCCTGCCTGGGTGATTTCATATCCCTGCCTGGGCAATTTCATATCCTTGCCTGGGCAATCTCATATCCTGCCTGGGCTACTTCATATTCATTTCATTTCTTGCCTTAGGCAATTTCATATCCCTGCCTGGGTAATTTCATATCCTTGCCTGGGCAATCTCATATCCCTGCCTGGGCTACTTCATATTCATTTCATTTCTTGCCTTAGGCAATTTCATATCCCTTCCTGCATAATTTCATATCCCTGCCTGGGCAATTTCATATCTATTTCATTCCCT